GCGACGTGAAATGTTCTTTGATGATTAATTCCTTTACGTCCACCTGCATTCATCACTGGAAACTAAAAAGAACATCCATATGTTATTTTACATTATAAAGAATTAGAAATTATTTGCGTAAATATATATTATGACTTAATTATAAAGAAGTGTAAATAAATAAATGGCAATAAAACGCGATAAATAAATTAATTTATTCTTAACATATTCAAACACTTATTATAACAATTTTTATACGACTTAAAATCAATACATAATTTTTTATTGGGCCTTTTATCAGAAATAAGTACCAACAGTATGTCTTATTTGATACATTACACTGCAACGAATTCGTCATAATAGCTGCCGATCATCGAACATATATATCTATATCTCTCGTTATATTTAAAAACTATATAAATACAAAGGCCATTTGTTTTTGTCAATGGAAAAATACCGACTTATTTTTAACATTTAATATAGTTTTAGTCATCCGTTTGTCGACAAAAGAGATAAAGCGGTGTATTTTATCATATAAATTAAATCGACGAATTATATATTGTTCACAATTTATTTTAATAATTATTAAATTTTTTAAAATTTTTCAACCTATAAAAAGATATGTAAGATTGTGTGAAATAAATATATATATATAGGTATATATATATGCTCACATGTTTTAATCTTCAGATAAGAAGGAGTCGATAGACTTGGTGCATCAGTCGATCCACTTGTTGATTGAGAAACGATTTGATTTCGACCTTTAAAATTGTATGCTTGCCAAAAAAAAATCCATATCTTCTGTTTGTACTTTCAAGTTCACCGGTTTGCGAAAGTGATCTTTTATCAAAGATTGCAAAATTTCATTGAGCTCTCTATTTGTATCGTGGATATTATTGCTGATTATAGATTTTATTTCAATATTGTACAGTTCTTCTTTCGTTTTGATGTCTCCAGGAAGTTTTTTGTTTAAAAATATACATTGATTTTTAATTACGTAATGATAAGGCATATAAAAGGTAGAATCCTAGAACATTAAAGAAAATGTTTAAAAGATCTTTATTCATTCTTAAATATAGGATTTATATCAGTTTTTAAAATGTTTGTTTCACATGTTTATGCAGACAGAATCATTATACCATATTTTAAAATTGCATCATTTACTTTATTTAAATTAGTCTATATAAAAAAGAATCAAAATTTAATATTTTGATAAGCAAGATCTTTGGATTTTATTAAAAAACATTTATTAAAAGTTTGCTCAATGATGTATATAAAAGATAGGGACTGTATCGTTGTAAAATACCAAATATAATACTTAGCTATTTGCTAAGACGAGGAACAATCACTAAATTAAGATTTAAATCCCTCTTCCCTTTACTCCTCTAAAATTGATGTAGACGAGAGAAAATGTATATAAATAATACGTATATAAAATTTACCAAAGATTCGAAATCTCATTTCGTTTACACATTTATATTTTTTTTTTATTATAGCTTTTACTGCTTAATATACATATATTTAGAGCTGTAAAGTTTTATTTGATACATATCTTTAAGTGTCTTTTTATACAATATAAATTTGAATTTTGACATTTATTTATTATAATATTCTTGACTAATATTACTATTGAAAAGGGCGTCAAAACTATTTACCATATAGTTTTCAGGCCGTTTCGGGTTATTAAAATTAATGATATTCATTAACTCATTTTTCGAGACATCCGCCGGTAAATAAAGAATTTCTTTTAAACGCTGTTCCATTTCACCACTGGAAATCAGGTAAGCAGAGTAAAGTCCGTGATATATGTTATATGGACTAAAAACAATATATTTCTTCGGCTTGATCGTCGCATATTTATGCAGACTTGTCAACGCAAACTTGAAACGCGCCTCCGACACTGAGTTTTTGGCAAATGAAAGAAAGGAATATAAAGTAAGATCACGCAAAATTAAAAAATCGAATATATTAGAATTAAAAATGATGAATAAATTACAAATATTGAAATTAATTAATAAGTTACAATGTTTGTAATTAAATAAATGTAAATGCAGAGTATAATATCTTCAAATATTTACAACATTGATTTGCATGTCGATAAAATAAATTTTGACGATATATAAGAAATTTAATTATAAATTTTAGATACGATAAATAAATATACGTATAAGAATAATTGAAAAAATAATAGTTTCGTAAATGTATTCTTACATATCTAATGTTTACTAACATATGTACACAGTCAAACTTTGCTAAATATGTAAGGAACTTCTCGAACAGTATGTTGATTATATTCCAGCTATTAAAATAAACGCAAAATTTGCAATCGGTCAGTTATTCATGAAATTTAATAGAAAAATTTAATATTAACAATTTGGAAGAAATTATATTTTGCAATATTTTAATATGTCTAAAATGATAGTATTTATTCAACTATACTTTCAGTCGTCGTCAACCAAGTGAAAGTTATATCTTAATGATGAACTTATTTGTATCTATATCGCGTAACTATTCGCTAAAATACATTTTTATATACCGATAAACTTCGAAAATTATAATGTACGCAACTATATTTGAATCTAATTAATCGCGAAACTTGCTATATACAAGAATCACTATACATCGAAATATACTAAATACCATAGAATAATATTTTTAAATATTAATAATAACATGAAAAAAATTACCATATTTGTGTATATCTTTATTACCTGTTCGTTAAATCGGATTAAATTATAATTAAACTCACCAATTTTCTTCCTTAGATTTTTCTGCTCCATTTTAGGCTATACAGTAACAAAACCTTGTCAAACTTGCTTCGGTTGCTTGTGTGTCGATATCATGTAAACGCTGCTTTTATATATTTATATTATTTGACGCACGCGTAAATTATCATTAAATTTATGCGCGAAAAATCAAATCGATTTTAACAAACCAGAATTATAACAAAACACACTCATTCTTAGATAGGTATACACACAAACGGACATTAAAACATATCATTTAATATTAATGCCAAATTTTGCAATTTATTTAAAATTATAGTATATACATTCGTTATCTCACACGTCGTGATACAAATATCCAAATAAATAAATAGCATCTATAGACATATATATATATTATATATACATATATGTATATATATGGTGTATGTCAAATAAGAAAGAAGTCGAAATTTATTGCCTGAATAATGTTGTAGCTTAGGAAGAAAAAATATAGATCAATTTAAAATAACAGATGTAACATATTCGAAAATATAAAATATAATTCGAACATCTACAGTTTTATATTAGAATATAATTAAAATAAATTGAGAATTTTACATATTTATAAATGATAAAAATACTTGCAATATTTTCTCTAAATTTACGATAGCACATTTAATTTTTTTACAAATTTTGTAAGCTACATATTTAATACACATTTTATAATATATTTAATGTTAAATTTTGACAGAGATAATTTTTTGGCGTTCAAATGTTTCTTCTATAAAATTTGAAAGAAATAATTCAATGATTAACATTTATGATAAAAACTTTATACATAAATGTATACGCGTATATACGTATATATTCACTTAAATATATATATTTGTATTTATATACATACGTATTTATATACTATATTTGATTTGCTATTTTATCGGTTTAATTAACTTAATCATAAATATATTGGGCGGATGAAATGCAAAGTAACTATAATCGACAAAAAAAAGACTTGAAAATTATAAAATAAAGTTAAAATAATTACATTTTCACCAACTAAATTTCTGTTACCAATCGCCATTACAAAAAGTATATCCGATTTGTGTACTTCTGAATTTAAGAGAAGCTACTGTAAAAGCTAAAAATGGTATAATTTAATAATTTTCTTTAGCAAAACAGCATAGCGGATAATTTAAAATTTTAAGCAATTATTAGTTACTTACATATATATAAATTGTTTTCTGCAATGTACTGTCTGTAAAAGGTGCTTTATAAAAACAAACTCGTATATCCCAATAATCAGAGTTTTAAATTTGCAAGCATTCTCATATCTTTAAACCCCGTTTTAAATTATAAAACCAATTTTTTAATTATTTATGATATTGTATTGCCAATTATCTAATAAAATAAAAAAATGGTATAAAATTGACAATATGGTGCAGCTTATAACAAAACAATAATAATTTTTAGTATTTTAATTTCAGATAAAATTTGGATGTATATGAAATTACTCGTCAATTTGCAATTTCGACGGCAAAAAGATTCCTCAAAGGCAATCTACACAGTCTACATTTTTAAATAAAAAAATGTTGTACTTAAAAAATTTAATAACAATTGCCTAAAAATGTTGAAATAATTCGCTGTAGTTTTTCCAAAAAAAATTCTCACAAATCATATTTTTTAAAACTTCAAAACTGGCTTCCCTTAAATTTGTTATCATAATTATGAAGACTTTCCAATAAACTCCTAGAATGAACAGTTCGTTTGATAAGATTTGTATCTGTCAACCCAATAATTCAAGAAACGGGCTTGCCAACTTCATTAAAGACGCCGATATAGAGAATATCTGCGTTCATTTTATCGTAAATTAACCAAAGAAATGGATAATCGGTATTCACGTCGGTTATAATGTCGTTCGAACAAGGTTCCTGTCCGCTGATCACGGTTACTGCAACCGCCTTGACGTTCTCTTGCGTGACCTTGACACGAGCACGGTGCACGGCATTGCCGAAGTGCACGAATTGATTGTCTTCCGCGAAGGTGTTGTCCAAAGGAATCGCGTCGGGCGTCAATAACTGTTCGACGCCTAGTTCTCGCAACAAAACTTGCATATCTAAATTTTTTTCAATTTCAAAGATCAGCCGAGTAGGAACAGATGGTAATTTATCTTTTTGTTCGTTTTTACAAGACAGCAATTTTCGAAGTATACGCATTCCTTCGCTGGTTGACAATCTTTCAATCAAGCTGGATAGACCAGTGCTCATATCTTTTTTAACCGTGTTGTTTGTGGTTGTTGAAGAAGATATCAACATATACAGCGACGTAAAAATGTTCCTTGATGATTAACTCCTTTACGTCCACCTGCAATTCATCACTGGAAACTAAAAAAAACATCCATATTATTATACATCAATTTTACATTTCAAAGAATTAGAAATTATTTGAGTAAACATATAGCATGCCTTAGTTATAGAAAGTGTAAATAAAATAAGTGGCAATATAACGCGATAAATAAATTAATTTATTTTTAACATATTCAAACACTTATTAACAATATTTATACGACTTAAAATCAATGCATAATTTTTAATTGGGCCTTTTATCAAGAAATAAATAATAAATTGATGAATTACGCTTTGTTTAAGATTAATTTCATAATTTACTAAATTTTCTAAAATTTACCAACATGTAAAACTAAATAGAGAGTAACATAGTGCAAAAATATATATGCTCACATGTTTTAAAATTCAGATAAGAAGAAGTCGATTGAGAGACGATTAGATTTCGACCATGGAAATGAAATACGTTTGCCAAAAAAATATCCATATCTTCTGTTTTTACTTTTAAGTTATTAATTACGAAGGAAATTCTTTAGCAAAGGTTGCAGAGATTCATTGAACTCTCTATTTGTATCCTGGATATTATTATTTCTTTTAGATCGGAATCCAGCATTGTAACAGTCGTCTCAGTGTTTTTAAGTCTTTACAAGTTTTTTGTTTAAAAATATACATTGATTTTGAATTACATAATGGTAAGGCATATAAGAAGTAGCATTCTAGAACATTAAAAAAAATGTTTAAACAATCTCTATTATTCATTCTTAAATATAAGATTTATATCACTTTCTTAAAATGTTTGTTTCACATGTTTATTTACATAAACTGAATCTTTGTATCATATTATAAAATTGCATCAATTTACTTCATTCAAATTAGTCTACATAAAAATAAGTCACAATTTAATATTTTGACATTTTTTATTATAATATTTTTTGATTAATATTATTATTGAAATAAACGTCAAAATTATTTACCTTATAGCGTACAGGTCGGTGTCCGGGGTATTTATCAAAATTAATAATTTTCAGCAACTCATACTTCGAAACATTGGTAAATAAAGAATATCTCTTAAACGCTGTTCCATTTCACCACTTGAAATCATATAAGCAGAATAAAGTCCGTGATATATATTATGGGACTAAAAACAAAATCTTCCTTTTGGCTTGATCGACGCATATTTATGCAGACTTGTCACCGCGAACTTGAACATCGCCTCTGATATTACAGAATCTGGCAAATAAAAAAGAATATAAATAAAGATCAAGAGAAATTGATAAAAAAGATACGTTAAAATTACATGATGATTAAATTACAATTGTTGAAATTAATAAATAAGTTATAACAATTTACAAAATTTGTAATTAAATAAATGAAAATACAGTGTACGTAACGTCTTCAAATCTTTTCGTCATTTTTTTGCATGTCTATAAACAGAAATTTTTAACATCTAAACATTTAACACTAAATTGAAATACGATAAATAAGAAGTATGCGTACATAGAATGATAATCGAAAAGGAAATAGCTTTGAGAAATAAATGTACTCTTACATATCTTATGTTTACTAATATGTCCATAATCAAATTATACAAATTATATTAATTAACGAACTCGTTGAAAAGTATGTTGATTATATTTCCAAAAATTAAATATAACACAAAATTTGAAATTGTATCAATAATTATAATAATCTATAAACATCTGATATTTATTCAAATATAATTTATCATCTGCGTGTGAAAATGTTGTACCTTATAATTAAACTTATTATACGTGTATATTGTTAAATTCTGAAACATTCGCTAAATACATTATTACCGACCGATCTAGAAATGTGTAATGTACCGATTAACTTGATCAGATATTCGCAAGATTTGCTGTATGTATAAGAGTCATTATTGCATCGTAAATACTTTAAATATTCTCTAAAAACTCACCTTTAAAAAAGGTAAAAAAAGGCGACCAGTTAAGGGCACGCCATTAACAAAAATTATCCATTGCAAACCCATGTAGAATCCTATCCTATTGCAAACCCATGTAGAATCCTATGAAAATTAATCATTGCAAACCCATGTAGAATCCTAGGCAAAATTAACCATTGCAAACCCATGTAGAATCGTACCCATTGCAAACCTATGTAGAATCCTATGAAAAATTAACCATTGCAAACTCATGTAGAATCCTATGAAAAATTAACCATTGCAAACCCATGTAGAATTGTATTAAAATTATCCATTGCAAACTTATGTAGAATCCTACATTGCAAACCCATGTACAATAGAATTGTATGAAAAATTATCGATTATAAACCCATGTACAATCGTAACAAAAGTAATGAAATAAAAAAAAATTGCGCCAAGTGAAAGTAGAAACTTGTACCAGTGGAAAATTAAAGTTGCAGACATATATAGAGTCGTATAATGAATCAGTAAAAATTTAAATTTGCAAATGTAGAATCGTACCATAAAAAACTTATCTTTTAAAAAAAAGATAAACAAGATGCCAAGTCCATGCGCCATGTGAAAAAGAAATAAAAAAATTTTAGTTAAAAAAACTGGGCGCGCTGCTAAGTTTCAAAATTACAATGCACCTTAAAGTAACATTAATAATTTAAACACAAAAACATATTTTAACTGTAATGAGTTTAAAAGTAACAATTTAATTTTAATATTGTTAGAATATTATTTAGCAGCGCTCCCTTTTTTTAACTAAAATTTTTTTATTTCTTTTCACATGGCGCATGGACTTGGCATCTTGTTTATCTTTTTTTTTAAAAGATAAGTTTTTTTATGGTACGATTCTACATTTGCAAATTTAAATTTTTACTGATTCATTATACGACTCTATATATGTCTGCAACTTTAATTTTCCACTGGTACAAGTTTCTACTTTCACTTGGCGCAATTTTTTTTTATTTCATTACTTTTGTTACGATTGTACATGGGTTTATAATCGATAATTTTTCATACAATTCTATTGTACATGGGTTTGCAATGTAGGATTCTACATAAGTTTGCAATGGATAATTTTTAATACAATTCTACATGGGTTTGCAATGGTTAATTTTTCATAGGATTCTACATGAGTTTGCAATGGTTAATTTTTCATAGGATTCTACATAGGTTTGCAATGGGTACGATTCTACATGGTTTGCAATGGTTAATTTTGCCTAGGATTCTACATGGTTTGCAATGATTAATTTTCATAGGATTCTACATGGGTTTGCAATAGGATAGGATTCTACATGGTTTGCAATGGATAATTTTTGTTAATGGCGTGCCCTTAACTGGTCGCCTTTTTTTACCTTTTTTTAAAGGTGAGTTTTTAGAGATTATATCATTCATTTTTGTATATTTTTATGACCGGAATAGAACAATTATTAAACATGTTTATCTAAACTTCTTTGCTTAAAATGATGTGTACAATCATATCCTAGAATCCTGATCATTCCTCCTAAAGCACCCTATTTATATAAATTTACCCATATGTGTGTGTGTGTGTGTGTGTGTACTAATGTCGAGCATTTTTTATACATTTTCTATTAAATTTAGATAAAAGTTGCAGGATTTCGAAAAAGAAAAAGTTGACACAGACTTTTTCCTAAACGGCGATTTTCAAGGTTATTTAAAGGTCACTTATATTTTCAAAATAGAATTACCTTAATTTTTCTCATATAAATCGATTCCTCGCAATATTTACTATAAAAAGTTGTAAAGGTATAATTTTTACATAATCTTACATAAACTTCGAAATATTACAAATATTTTATTTTATGAAATATTTCAGTTTATGTAAAATTATGTTAACTATCTTTTAAATTATTCACTTTTAGCCATCTTACCCTTACAACCTTTTATAGTGAATATTGCAACAAATTGGTTTATATATATAATATATATAACATCAGTTATTATTAATTGATGTTTACATTTATTTTTAGACTTACTAGAGCTCAAATGCTCCACATTTTTGCAAAAACTGTTTATTCTACAGATTTCAAATATGCTTTTAAATGATGATTGAATATTTCCTTTTTTTAATTATTTTTATTATTATTTTTCAATCTCAATCAACTTTTATAACTTTATGCCAGCACGATACAAATACATGTGTCTTTATTTTTTTTATTATTTTCATTATTATTTTTCAATCTCAATCAACTTCTATAACCTTATGCCAGCAGGATACAAATACATGTATGTCTTTATTATTGTATCAACTCTTGTCTTTTCCATGTAACCATGTCTTCATAGTTTGAATTATCCCTTCATCTTCTCAATCTTTCGCAGAGATTTAATTAATTAAATACACTTCACACGAAATAAAGTTTGCTGGAAGATATACAGCAAACGATAACTGTAAAAACATGATTACGTGGAAAGAACAAGAGTTGGTACAGTAAAGGCAAGTAAGTAAGTACATGTAATGTATCGTATTGGCATAACGCTATATCCGCGGAGCAGATAATGTGGCTGTAGAGGTAGTCTGCAGTGCAGCTAATGTGGACGTAGATGTTGATTGAGATAATTGTCTAATATAAAATAGAATTTAAAAATTTAGTTTAAAAAGCTGTTGCATATATAAATAAAGTTTATTTTTTCTAAATTTGGAATATGTTTATTAATTAATTTTTTAAGTCTATGTTTAATAAATTTTTTAAGTCTGTATTCAATAATTTTATTCATTTGATAAATACATGTATGTCTTTATTTTGATATGTTTAATATAATTAGAAATTCATTATTAATTAGATATGTAAACTATAAATTCATATATAATATTTGAAAATATGTGAATATTTAAATTTTTATCTTCTCCTTCCTCTCCTTCAATCTCTTTTAATATCAATATGTGTATGTGTGTACACGCGCGCACATTTGTACGTATTTATTTAATTATTGGATAGTTGAGAGTACTTAATTGATA